GCACCTGGTGTATGTTCTCTAGGTCTTTTAGGAAACATGGTGTGGTTCATTTGGCAAAATAAATGCCAATCTACAGGAAAGGTGATATTGTAGACATCAAGGGAATGGGTACTGTTCCAAAAGGAATGCCCCACAAATGTTACCTTGGCAAAACTGGAAGCATCTACAATGTTGGCATTGTTGTAAACAAACAAGTTAAAGGCAAGATTCTTGCCCAGAGAGTTAATGTGTGTGTTGAGCATATTAAGTGTTCTAGGAGCAGAGAGAGCTTCCTCAAGCATGTGAAGGAAAATGACCAGAAAGAGAAGGAAGCCAAAGAGAAAGGTACCTGGGTTCAACTCCACCCAGAGAAACAAATGGAAAGGAGCCTAAGTGTGGAAACTCCCCCTATGAATTCATTGCATAATAGATGTTAAAAATAAATAAATTCTGGACTATTAAAGAAAATCATTCTATTGACCTCAAATATAGACATGCTCCTTGGCTGATGATGGGATTTTGTTCTAGTAAATCCATTGCAAATTATAAATATCTTAAGTAGAAAATACATTTAATATAGGAACTCCTTATCTTATGAATGTGTAATACCTCACATCATTGTAAAGTTAAACAATTTTTTACAAGTACAGGCCTGTAACTTTTTCTTTCTCATTTGACTTTGAGGAGAGAAGTAAAAAATCTGCTAAATAAAATTTTGGTAATGAAGGGGACCAGTAGACAGCGTAATGGTTATGTTGCTGGACTCCCACATAGTTGACTGTGATTTGGGTCCCAGACCTGGTGGCTTAAAACTTATGCCAGGCATGTGTGCAAGGGTGCCCACAATTCCAAGAGGAGGCTGGAGAAGAAGGGATTGCAGCATGGCCATCTCCCTTGTGGGTAATTTCTCATTTTCTGTCTCTCTGTCTCTCTGGTAAGTACATGCACCCTGCAGCAAAAATCTCTCTAAAAAAAGAAAAATAGATTTTGGTAGTGAATTTGTTTTCTGCTTAAAACAAGGAAAATAATCTGGTGGATTAATTAGTTCGTTAAATTGGCTTTCTCTCTTAAAGGTTCAACCATTGGATTTATATATAGTTTAAATTAAAAAAATAGTTTCATGCTAATTTGAGATTGAGATATTAGACGTTGGGTGAACTTTGTGTCCTGATTTGTCATTCTCTTTTAATTATTTTCAGAGTTAGTGTATGCAGACTAAATATGTACCTCTGAGTGACCAGTTTTATATTTGTCTTATTTGATGGTCATAGAGCAGTACAGTTTGCATTAGGAATTTTATCCTCTGTGTATCTCCAACTGTACCTTTTGTTTCCTATATTTATATCAGTTTTTCTTTGACCATGGCAGATCTGCAGCATTAACAGTTATGGCTTAAATAAAAAAGAAACTTAGTCTCACAGTTCTGGAGTTCAGAAATCTGAAATCAAAGTGTCAACAGGGTTAGTTTCTTCTGGAGGCTTTACTAAAGATTTTCTTTCTATGCCTTTCTCCCAGTTTTGGTTGGCTGTCGGCAATTTTCACAATCCTTGCCTTGTAGACAAATCACTCCAGTGTCTGCCTCCATCCTTGCATGCATGTGATATTTAGTCATTATCCAATATATACAGTTTAATCTATATGCATTTAGTTAAAATGATAAATATGTAATTTTAGGTAGTTACATTTTTATAAAATGCAAAGAGATGAAAATAGTGTGAAATAAGGTAAAGCAAACTATGTCTTAAAATATTTTATTCAGAAGCTTTTCTTCTCTCCGTAGCTGTTGGAAAAATTAGAGGGAAGCCTCTTCCATTACTCTTATTTTTTGAGGCTCTCTTCAGCACAAGTCATGCTTTTAGACGTCCTGTTGATGCAGAGCTAACCTTGGAAGGAATCAAATGTGGATTATCTGAAAAACGGTTAGATTTAGTTATCAATTGGGTAACTCAGCAAAGGTAAGTAGAATTAAGCCTTTAACCTTAAATTTGACATTTGGTTAATAAAATTATTTGTTATCAAAGTTTTAATAGTTTTATTTTTAAGAATTATTTATTTTATTTATTATTGTTTTTTTGTTGTGAGCAGAGAGAAACAGAGAAAGGAAAAATGAAAAAGCAAGCCACCAGGTACCAGACTTAAACCACAGTCAGGCCTGTGGAAGTCCAGTGCCTTAAGCACCATGCCACCTACCACCCTCAATAGTTTTTTTGTTTGTTTTTATCTGTACATTATTTGAGAATTCACTTCAGGTTCCTATTGTATTTAATTTGTTAGAAAGTATTTACTAAGGGGCCAGCAGGTGGCATTGGGGTTAAGGTGTTGGAATTTCCACATAGCCAACTACAATTCAAGTCCCAGACCTGATGACTTGCTTTCTCACTCTCCCTCTCTCTCTCTTTCTCTGTCTTTCTCTGGCAAAACTTATGTGAAAATAATAATAATATAATTATTTAAAGAAAAAAAGTATTTACTAAGTACACATGGAATAATGAGGCCCAGTCACAATGCACCCAGATTAAGAATTGATTCATGAATGGGGCAGGTGGTATAGTAGTTAAGATGTTGAACTCCCACATGGCCGACTGTGGTTCAAGTCCCAAAATCAGTGGCTTGAAACTCACTCTACACATGTGTACGCATGTCTAAAATCCCAAGGAAGAATGGAGAAGAAGGGATTGTGGCATGGCCATCCCTCCTGAGGGGTATTTCTTGCTTTCTCTCAGTCTTGCTCCATCTCTCCAGCAAGCATACACACCCTATAGCAAAAATTTCTCAAAAATAAATAAAAATAATTGATTAACGGCAGTTTACAGGATGATTTGACTTAATGGTGGATGGAGGTTAAGCGGTAAGAATAGAGAAAGACTGGTTAATATCATGCTGCTGGGAGGGAAATAATGGGAACCTCTAGTCAGTATGTGAGTACACGTAAAGGGTAAACCTAGCAGATAGCACATGAACAGGAAGGACATTGTTCAAGATAGCATTTAAAAGAACACACCAGCAGGACCAGCAATTGGTATAATGGCCATGTCACTGGGTTCCCATGTAGTCGACCGTGGTCTGAGTCCTGGACCTGGTGACTTAAACTCAAGCCAGGTGCGTATGTGTGCGTGCCCATTCCCCTGGGGGATGATTTCTTGCTTCTGTCTCTCTGTCTTTCTGGTGAGCACAAGTGTCCTATAATAAAACCGCTCCCCCTCCCCCCCCAAAAAAATGGACAAGCAAGAGGTGTTTTTTTGGAGCTGAGTCTCAGCGCAATTGGCAGGTTGTTTTTTTCTTTCTTTCTTTCTTTCTTTTTTTTTTTTTTTTTTTTTTTTTGGGGTGTTTTTTTTTTTTTTTTTTTTTTTTTTTTTTTTTTTTTTTTTTTTTTTTTTTTTTTTTTTTTTT